AAGCTGCTTTCCCAGCTGCTGTCCGGCAGTGGCCTCCAGCCCTCCTTCTCTTGTTCACAGCTACATTCAGCGCATCAGACTGTGTCTCATACAAGTTTAAACATCATCTACCTACCAACCTGTCACGTTGGAGCCGCGCTGGAGCCAGGTGAGGTGGAGGGGAGGGGTTGATGGATGGTGCTGTGACTGAAATCGAACATTTTTCCCGCCTCATATAGGTTCAAGTCAGGACTCTGGCAAAGCCACACCTAAATGTCATTACAATATCCAATCAAAAGAAAAATGTTGGTCAAATTAAAAGGCAAGTTTAAACTTAAATCTGCCAGATAATAATGTTGGATTGAACTGCTTGAGAAACTAGACCGATGGCTTTACACTGAAAAGACGTAACATTTCACCAAGTATTCCTGGTTCAGTTTCTGAAGCAAATAATTTTGCAGCCTTGAAATTAGATAACGCAAACAAAGTTAACTTTTCAGCAAGATATAAGCGTTTTGTAAAGTCAACAATTCATCAAGAAGTACTAGTTTCAGAGACATTTATGACATAATCTTCCAGTGGAACTAATATTTTTTTAATCATTATTAAGGAATTACATGTTTAAAACAAGCTGCCATATCTGGCTGAAAAGTTATTTCTGGGTTAGTTTTGTTTCAATTCAAATGTACAAAGATATCTGAACTAAAAACTAGACAAAAAAATACTTGGTAAGATTTTGTGTTTGCAGTGTATTAACCTGACTGAACATTGAGTGTGGGAGTAAAAACCAATTACGAATATGTATTTCAAGTCATCAATTTTTCATCTGTTGATTACAAGCCCACCCTGTAAATGTGGCGGCAGCTTGAAATAATCTTTTGAAAATGTTAGTCTTTGGTGCAGCTCCTCAGCAGTGGTTCAGTTCAAGTCAGGTCAGTTTTTGTTGATACCTCAGAGAGAAATTGTTGTGCAGCGGACATCATAAATACAAAACGAAAAACAGAGAGCAAGTCTACAAAAGACATCACATTCACTCTGTTATCTGGGCCATTCCTTTGAAAATCGATAAACACTTCATAAACAATGCCACAATGGCTCCTGGGAGTTTTAAACCAGCTGTACTTACTGCTGCGGCAGTAAGCTGTATAGCAGTGCTAGTTATGGGTTTTGATTACTGAAATTACAGGATGTTTATTGACTGAGCTTTTAATATTACTATGATGATGATTATTATTATTATTGTAGAAGAGGAAATGCTGCATATAAGGACCGTTAGAAGATAACTGCGATCCAGTGACGTCATATATTTAGTTTTCTCCTCTTTTAATAAGCTATCACTTATTAATAATCGCAAAAACCACAACCTGAAACCACACTGTCGCAACAGACTGAATGTTCTGCTCTTTGTGTGGGAAATATTTGAGAGTCTGCGCGTAGCTTGCGCTGGTACGGAGAGCGAGAAGCGCGAGGTTTTGAGTTGTATTTTAACGGGGTTTTCCCTTTGAAATGACGTCATCTCCATGTCCAAGCTTGACTGAGTTAACGGGATTATTCTACGGATATGCACGACACGTAAAAGAATAGCCTTTTTAGCCTCCAGCGTTGTACGCATGCGCGAGATTTCCTTACGTAAACAACAACACGCAGGGGGGTCTGTATTAGAAAATAGGATTATGATGAAGTCAGGGCCGCACAGGCCATGAACCTCACCGCTCCGACGGCTCTAATTTGGGACCACAGAATATCCACAGTGAATATTTACTATATATTTTTATATCAAAGCCCTTTGAGAAGCATGTTTTAACTTTGCCCTGCTTTTTCTTTTTTCTTTTTTGGCAAACCCAGTTCAGATCTCAGCTCATGTGTTTCTGTGGAAGTTTGTTTTTGTTTTTTACTCAAGTTTTACTATTAAAGCTGATTTCAAAATGTTTACTCTGCTAATAATTTAGACTTTTTTTTCTCTCATCCACAAAGGTTTTATTTTACTATTATTTTTAGAAACCATCAAGAAATGAGCTCTGAATACAATAAGCTGAAAACGATACAAACAAACAATTCAACATAGGTAATTTAATTTATTTACGAGTTTCTCCCCCCGCCCCCTATTAAATCTGAATAGTTGGAAAGTGAAGGTCAATACTGCCCCCATGTGGAGAATGACAACTAATGCAACACATTATTCAAAGACCTGAATGATTTTGGCATAATTTAATCATAATCAGTTCTTTACTGTCTATAATCAGACTAGCATTACTGGAACACCTCATGCCAAACGGGTGGACAATAGTGGAAAACATGTGTCATGTTATATTAAGGTACTGAGTGTGTGAAGCCGATCGCAAAAATATGAAACGTCAATACGAAGCTTTCCTTTCCTTCACCAGCAGCTCTCTGGTTCCACCTCAGCACCAGATAAGAACCTGCCTGACAAGAATCATCCGTCTTCAGAGACGGGCAACAACTCAGATCGGAGCACTCTATAAGAAAACTAGAGGAAATGCTCTTTCAGTGTTCACACCAAAACATAAAAGAACACAGCTTTATCTTTCGAGCAATATAACGCATAAAGTGCAGTGTGGTAATGCTTAGACAGCATGACGCTTCTCTTTCTACGCTTCATTTTATGTCAGGCGATAACTCGAAAGCCGATAATAGCCATAAGCACGGCGTGTTTTCAAAGTCAGTCAGAATCAACTTTGTTCACCAAGATTGCTCCTCATAAAGACATTTAAAATATATTTTTAAAAGGACAAAGAAAATTGCACATAACAGCTAAAAGTAGAAGGTGAACTTACTGTGATATTCTCTGTGGATCTTTAAGCATTTGTCAATGTAAAGTTGCTGCAACAAGCCTTTGATAGGTTTTCTGTCATAGCTTATTTTGTTGGCAGAAACACATTTATTTATACATTTTTTTCCCCCCTTAAACCGCAAAACTCAAGGAAATGTTTTGTAATTTTTTGATTCATAAATGATAAAGAAAAATAAAACAAATGGTAATCTCAGAAGAGAATAAACTTCTCACTCTTTCAAACAAGTACAGTAGCTAAAATAAATGCTGCAAAACATTTTGTGTATGCTTAAATGTATGGACAAATATCACATGTATCTATATATATTTTTCAAAATTGATTTGCACCAAATAAAACATAAGTAGCATGTCAGACTTCAAATGATGAGTTTAATCCAGCTGTGAAACCCAAGTGCCTTATGACACAATAGAACCTTTAAGGAAGCTAAATTAAGATGTTCTTTGGTACCAAAGAAGGATTGTGGATCATCAATAACCAGAGGGAAAAGATCAAAAATGTAACCAAGAGGCCAATCACAAATAGCTGCAAAAAACTCCTTTATTGACTGCCGACGCTGCATGAAACAGTCACGAGTGTTTGTCAAAAAATTTCATTGAACAAAAGTATCTCAATTCTCATCACGTTGTCGGTGATACAGTACCGTAGGTTGGATCTTAATGATTCATATATGCACCTCTTCTTATTTGAATATATACATACAGTGGAGACAAGAATTAAATAACAGTGCTCAATAACATTCAGATATATCATATAAAAGCTGAGGACCCCATGATCAACACTTCCATTGGTAAACAAACACAGAAACGGGTGGATGTTTGGTGTTGCTAGATTTCTGGATGTGAATCAGATGGTGGCGTATTTGGTTTCTTTACAATGGAGGATGATTTATTTCAACTAAATACAAGCTAAAGCAGGGTTTTAATCTGCTACTATGCTATGCTTGTAAAATACATTTACTGGGCCCTCTGTTAAAGATGTGTAAGATAGAATATTAATCTTATCACAGCAAATCCTACTAAAAAAATAATTAGAACTTTTTAATGTGTGTGTTTTGTTTATCTGTGCATCCAGACACATTTTCCATTGGTCTAATTATGATTCCGAGGTCTAATTTTCTCTTCTAATAAATTAGAAAGACAGGAAAACATTTGAACTTCTTATTCTGTGGATAGAGAAATAAATTTAAAAAATCCCTCAGTAAAAAACATTTTTTGCTGAACATCACCTGTGCCAAAAATCAGCTCCAACATTTCTTATGAAATAAATACAAGTTTTAAAGTGGAGTTAAGTTTTCCCATCTTGATCTCAGTGTCAACATGTTTTTAATAACCAAGTGAAGATTTCATGTTTCCAATGGGGATAATAACTATGTCTCTTACTTCAAAATAGGAAAGTCAAGAAAACATGTCATTCCATTAAAGTAGATGTGTGTTGATCAGATAAGTCGTAAAAGGACGCAACAAAAAACAAAGCCACTCACCTAAATGTAACCGTAGCGAGACTGGGAGAAGTGATTAAAAAAAAAAAATCACTAAAGAACTGTGACAAACGCAAAGACATGAGGGGCTTTGCGTTAATACTACAGTGAGTGTTGTTGTCCACATTTAAAGTATCTCTAGCAATTAACTGTTCGGTAGAAACAGGAAATGGTCGCATTGAAACTCCACCAGTTACTGAGAGTCGGATAGTAAATGAGGTAAAAAATAAAACCTCACCTTCAAAAAAATGATTTATTTTAATTTTTGCACATCTTAGGCAGCGATGCCAATAAATGAGGAGCATCCATAATGTCTAAATACAACAAATCAACACTAATTTTACAATCAGGTGTCTGTGACTTTAATATTACTTAATTAGTTTTCAATATTCAGGCCTAACAAGAGCTGAAGGAGCCGCTAACCAGGGGTAAATATTTTGGGAAGGAATAATAAAAAAAAAAAAAAAAAAAAAAACAGTTTTTGGAGGTGCTAATATATGAAATTACTTTGATTTATAAAGATAGAGCTCTAAAATACCCATCCCTAAATAGACTTCTGTTCGAATCGGGGTTTCATTTAATTACTGATTAGTCTTTAATATACATTTCCTGCAAAGTTATTTGTAATCACAAGAATACTATCAGAAGAGGTACTTTCTTTCATCTTCCCCAAACATAATCGCCATCACAGAAACAGTGTTGTTACTCAGCAAGCAATCCCAAAACAAACAAACAAACAAAAAAGATTTTATTGTTATTCTTCCTCATGTAGCTACAGACACGTACTGGAGAACGATAAGTTCAACTCGACGCATTATAAAGCGTGAGCACTGAGCTGTGGGTTAGTCTGAGAGTGCAGTGAAGACCTGGAGCCAGTAGTAAACGGGTACAGGGTGGCACGTTTGGTTACATGGATCAACATTCAAACTCTACAGGAACTCTGAGGTCTCCTCTATTGCACCGCCTGGTAGAAATACTACAGTGAGTGTTGTTGTCCACATTTAAAGTATCACTAGCAATTAACTGTTCGGTAGAAACAGAAAATGGTCGCATTGCAACAACAAAAGACAAAAACAAGTGGGTGGAGGAATGGTGAAGATTAGAAAACAAAAGGCAAGAGTGATTCTGGTCACTTTGTGAGAAAGTAACTACAAAACTTGAACAAATTTAAATAAGCTTTTAAAAAAAATAATAATAAAAAGTGAGTTCACTAACAAGTGGGTCTTGATAGACTAAATGAAACATGGGCAGCGATTAGACGTGACAGAGTTAGGCTCCACTGAGGTCCGAGCCCCTCTTTGAACCGGTACGAACGTCGGTTCTCTCCTGGGTGAGTTAAGAGCAATGGTGGAACTTACAATGTGCGTGCTAGTAAGAATACGTTACGCATGACATCACAGGGAGAGCTCAACCCCCCGACAAGGCCTCAGGCGTTCTGTTAGCAGCAAATGTGGTCACTGCATGTTAGCACATCCAAGATGACAGAGGCTCGGTACACACTGTGTTCGCCGTGTGGCTCAGTGATGGCTGTCTGAGGGTCGTCTCTAAAAAACAGCAATGAGCCAGAAAAGCAAACAAAAAAAGTTCGTCTGGTTTTCACTTGGAAAAAAAAAAAACAATCCAGGAGATCTGAGGATCTGGATGTGGTACAGACGCCACAGCGGGAGGGGACCAGAGCTAAGGCTTGGGTTAAGACAGTTAGGGATAGTGTGTGTGTGTGTGTGTGTGTGTGTGTGTGTGTGTGTGTGTGTGTGTGTGTGTGTGTGTGTGTGTGTGTGTGTGTGTGAGAGATCCAGTGTAGGTGTGTAGATCACAGCAGCGCCTTCACCAGGTACAGCTTCTCTCCGTGATCGCTTGTGTAGATGGGGGCCTTCTTGTAATGCTCCACTAGTTCATCCATGGAGCTGAACCTGCGCTGGCCGATGCAGTACGCCCCGTCTGACAGCTGCACTTTAAAGTGCTTGTTTTTCTCCACCGCCTTCAGGGACACGGAGAAATCACTGGGCTAAGAGACAAAACAAAACAGGGAGACAAAGAGAAACACACGATTACATCGAGCAAATTAAGATCGGCCAGCAGGGGGCAGCATTGTGTTCATAATTAAAAAGAAGAAAAATCTTGTGCTACAATTTAAAGATTTAAAATTGCAGTTACGCAAATTTTAAAACAAGTTAATCAAAAGGTGAAAAGTTTATTTCTATTATGACCATAAATACTGAGCAGATTTTATTTATTTTAATTTTTTTTTCAATATTAAAGGGATGAATGGACACTAATCAGACAGGAAATGGGCAGAAAGAATGTAAAGAGGGAGAAGAGATGCAACAAAGCTGTCAGGTTCAGATGTCAAACCCAGGACAGCAGCAAAGAGGGTTACAGACGAGAGACATTCAGAGAAGTTCAGGTTTACTACAAAGTGGAGTCAGTTGCCAGGTACATCTAATGACTGAATTATAAAAAATATATAAAAAGTTAAGCAGGAATTATGAAATTACTGAGGACTAAATATATTTCAGTGTAAAATGTTAAATACTGTACCATTTAGATAATTGCTTATTGGCGATTAATCAGTGTGAAAATGCGCAAAAGGCAGAAATATAGTGCATTAGTTGGATGTAGCCACGTGCAACAGCTTGTTTAAGTGGAAAATTAAACGCAATCTGTGCGAACCTTACTGACTCATCTGCAGCCTTAGCTCCATGTCAACGAGCTAAGGCTGCATGTGTGTGAAAACATCGCTGGAAGCAAATGTGGATTAAATTCCTGCACCTCCGTTACATTTTCATGTGATTATTGACCATCTACTCCTTAAAGTCATTAATATGCTTCTTTCATGTCATAATGTGTGCAAATTTGCCATTAGGTTTTAATGAACATCTCTAATTTTATTAATTTTGGATAAAATCCTTGTCAGCGTCTCCTACATGGTGCCATGACTTCACCTAAATGACTCACCGATGACTCGCTGTCTCGTATGAGGAAGTCGCCCTCCTCTCCCCGTTCGTTGAGTATGCACTCAGCCTCCTGTCTGGTGATGTTGCCGTAGTACCAGTCCCTGCCGGCGAACTTCCCCGAGCGCGCCGGTCCGATATAGCGGCCCTGAGGGGAGCCCGACGTGGTGGAGGGTGGGCCGGGTCGCTCGTCCAGCACCGCCACATAGTTTTTAGGCACCAGGCCAATGATGCCGCGAGAGTTCTTGCACCTCCACCACTCTGGGTCGTTCTCCGGCTTCGCTATCACCTCCATAATTTCTCCTTTCTCAAAGTTCAGCTCCTCCTCGGTCGTCGAGTTGAAGGGGTAGAGCGTTTGGACCAGGTGGAGGACGACGCCCCGGCCGCCGGCGCGGCCATTGGCCAGCAGAGTTTCGCCGAGGTAACTTCGCGGGGAATCCCCATCTTTGTCGTCCACCCCCATGAGCTCCTCCTGGACGTAATTGGAGGGAAACCAGCCGACGCGGCCGGCCTGACTGCCACGCCACCAGCCGTCGCTGCACTTCTCCATGACGACCACCCTGGAGCCTTTGAGCAGAGTCAGCTCGTCTTCTCTCTCTGCCGTGTACGCAAACTTGACCACAGCAGGGATGTTGAGGTCGAAGACCCGCTCTGCGGCGCCGACCACACCTCCGCCCCCGTTGGAAGGGTACTCCGTGTCTGAGCTCGGCGTAGGGGAGGCATCACGCGCACTCGTCTTCCTCTTACCCTTTCCCAAACCTGTGCACGAAAACGACAACACCTTCAGTTGAATAGTTTGGAAACAGTGGACATAACTATCTGTGATCTTAACTCCTTCAGCAATATCTTAGACAGCCAAACTTAGTCACAAAATAATTAGCTTTTGTTTGTTTAAGCCTTCCTTTTTGTGGAAAGAAGTAATGAGTTAAGAACCGACTGCCCTGCATTCAAGAAGACAAGCAGAATGTTTGTATGTATTTTTGTTATGTCGAAACAAACATTGTATATGTCCTGCAGAGTGGCTAGTTTTATCTGTATTTAAAATTTCAAGAAGTGTTTTCGTTTTCCCTGCTACCTTTTGGATCAGCAGAATACTTTTTAGGAGTCACCACTTATCAAATATGACACTCGAGCATCCAGTTACTGGCTGCTCGATGAGCTGCTGCTAAAAACGCACGCAGAAAAACAGTGCAGAAAATCAACGTCATATTTTTTATTGCAAAGCACATTAAAGTTGAGTATATGTGTTAATGCCATTTCAGTTATTTTTATTGCTGTAGTTTGCAAGTTCTCTCTATGGTTGTTTGTCCTGTGGTGCCCTGCGATGTACTGGCAACCTGTCCAGCGTGTACCCCACCTTGATCTTATTAAACCCTGGAGATCGGCACCAGCTCCCTTGTGACCCAGCAAGGATAAGCAAATTGACTGGAAATCAGTATTGTTCAATATTAAAGTATTTACAAAGGTTTCTGCGTCAAAAGAAACTCATGATCAGGATGTCCTTCACATCCAATACGAGGAAGACTTTGCTCTTGTGAGAACTTTTGTTTGGTGATCAATTAGAAGAAAAAAGAGAAAGTGCTGAGGCTTTTCCAGTAAGATGTCCTGCAGTGGGCAAAACACGCCTTCCCCCAACTCCTCCAGAACAAAACTAGGGCTTTTCTCTACTTAGCATTCAGCTGACATCATCTACACACCACATACACCTTCATATAAACCCAAAGGTTGAAAATAGATGGAGCACAGAGGGAATGAAAAGTGGAGCAGGCACCATGGGCTTGATAATGACAGGCAGGTCCAGGATCAAAGTCAGGCCCTGCCTTACCTGCCTCTCACTCCGCCATTCATGTTCTTTCAAAGACGAGTCTTTAAACGTGTTAGAACACTTCAGTGGGACTCAAACATAAACCGAGGAGGTCTCCTCTTCTTCCTCACATGGATGTTAAAACAGTAATTACACCCAGCACGGCTGTCAGCATTTAAAGCATTTACTTGACGGCTGAAGCTGGTGTCAGTGGAAGCTGCTAATGACTGAAGAGAGAAATTTTGACAGCTCCTCTCCCAGACTCTGCCGCAGAAATGTCACTGTTGAACAGAGCATTTACTTTGTTTGAAAATTGCAGGGTTCACGCAGAGTAGCATGAAACTTGTTGGCGGAGAGTAAGGGAGAGAGGAGTGCAGTGGAGAAAGACAGGGGGTTTCTTGGCAGCTGTTCCTCACACACGCTGGAGACCAAACACATCAGAAGCCACAGCTGACAAAAATGCAAAGGAGGAGGATGAGGTAGGAATAGCAAGCAGTGTGTGTTTGTGTATGGCACTGTGTAGCCCACAAATCTGATATTTATGAGTGAGGAGGAAGGCTGACATCTGGGACAACTTGAGAAGGTCAAGGAAAGAAAAACTAAATAAAATGACCCGGGTAATGCGGTTGAGAGATGCTTCACGACTCCCTCTGAGCCTAGCAAAAAAAAAAAAGACCTGCATCTCCACACACCTCTCACCTCTACGCTCATTTCCACTTCAAGGCATCGGTCTGCCTGTTAAAGCGGCGGCGTGACATCTTCTCTGAGCCTTCATCTATCTCTTCATCTTGTGAAAGGAGACGCGATTTTTAAACCCAGAGGGCTTCAACTCTGGGGGAAGTGAGCTGATGAAAGGCTGTAAGTTGCAGCATATTGCTTCACTCTTCTGCTTCCACTGAAAGGCAGCGGGGAAGAAACTGTATTAAGTGGGTCCTTGCAAAATCACACCACCCACCAGACACATGTGTCCACAATCAAAAAACCCAACAGGAGCCTGTAGTGAAGTGATAGTTCTAAAACAGCAGGTGATGAGGTTTAAGAGCTCTTTGAGGGTGAATCACAGGTGATATATGTGGTCTTTTAATCAGCCCTTCCAGCAGTGTGGCTCTGTTTTTAATCTAAGGGCTCTGAGGTCTTAATGCCCCATTGTGTGTAAAGTCGGTAAGGCTGTCAAAAGGCTTGCAGAGTAAAAAAAAAAAGAAAAAGGAAAAAATGTCAAAATGTTGGATGCTAATGACCAAAAATGACTTAGTGATAAAATCTAATAAGCTTTGAAAAGGTCTTACAAACAACAATACATACATAGTCAGGGTTACCTCCAGTGTATTATAAGTCTGGCGGGTCACCAGGCTTTACTTGGGCCCCCACCAGGCTAAACGATATTTATTTATTTATAATTTTTTTTAGTGTTTGCATTTTTTGAGGCTTTATAGTCAGTATTCAAGCATTAATCTTCCAATGACACATAATTATCAGGCGATATTTTCAAGTTTCTTGCCAACTTTAAACATTTTTTAACTCAAAAACCCGGCAGGCTGCTGAATGAATGACTAACTTAACGCCCAATCACCAGGCTTAGTGAGCTTCTAGAGTGGTTTGACCTTTAACGAAAACTGTACTCTGTAAAGACTCAAATAAGCAGAAATTTTATGTTCTCTTTAGTTTAATAGGTGAGTATTGACCCAGTTCCAGCGACTATTAACACAACTATGTTTTTTTTTTTTTTTATTTCCAAGGAGAAGAAAGTGGGGCACCGAGCAGCAGGCAGCCATTTATAGTTAAGACTCTGTTCAGATGGATGCAGATAATACAACTGCTCCAAAAAGCAGCACACATGGAGAAGAGAATCTGCAGAGAACAGAAAAGAGACGATATCAAAATGCTCACTGAAGAAGATTAAAACGATGGGGGGGGGGAGTCTGACAAAGTCATCAAACTCTCAACCAATCAAATTATCCGCTGAAGTGTGTGCGTAGTTTCCATTATCACCTGACCCTCACCTATTGCTCATCGGCTCGTGGTGAAGTTGTTCTCGCCTATTGGATTTTCGCAGGCTTTTAACAGGAAAGAGCTGCAGGCAGGAAGGATGCTGCCCAGACTGGGATGGAACGGGGCCATAATGTTGTAGTCGATATATAACTCAGTCAGAGAGCAGGGGGATGATCCATCATTCTGATATAGCCATTAGGTGCCTGATTTGTCCTGCAGTATAACTACCGATAAGAGAAAAGCAGAGGTCCACGGTGAGGTGACCAAGAGAGGAGCTGATGAAATTGGCGCTGGAGTGGAGAACAGAGGGAGGAGGGCTTCATCCCTGCGCCCTGTGACCTCCGGTTAAGGTGACCGACTCCAGCAGGCTGTGTCAGGGAGGCCGGCATGCAGCTGCAGCTCCTCCCCACCCCCGAGGGTCTGGATCCACAGAGCGGGAGAGGTGAATACATTAAAGCTGACCTCGATCCACCTCTCTCCGTCACCTCCAGCTACAGCTGCCTTTGGAAACCACACACTTATTGCTTGTTTTACATTTAAACTGCTTTCCACCAGACATTTCCATTTCCTGCCCAGGTTCCTCTCGTCCCTGTTCCCGACCATTCTGATAGCGGAGCAGGTATCCCATAGCGAAGCTGTCAAAACAAATTAATTTCACCATTTGCTTTGCTACCCATTAGTAGATCAAAAGAGTAGGATTTTATATTTTGCTCCCTTGACTTGAGCATCAAAGATCAGAAAAAAAAAAAAAACTAAGTGCTGCCATTTAATTCGAGGAGGATGTTTGCTGGGGGTGACATCTGTGGCATTTGTTCACTTCAGAGGGAAAACATGTGAGTGGGTGTTGAAGAGCCCCATTGTCCCAAATGATTTCTTGCCTCCATTTCCATATTCAAAAACTTGAAAAAATGAATTAGGGCACAATCTACCTAAAGGCCAGAGGATTATTCCTCCCACAAGACATCAAAATAAATCAAACTTTTCTTTCAACTTTAGAAACTAAAAAGTCAACTGTTGGATGCAAATGTAACCAGAGGGCCCTTTGTCACATAAAACATCCCAACAACCGATCAGGATTCTTACCAAATTGAGATTTCTTTAACAACGACTATATTTATTTATTGATTTATTTATTTATTAAGGGTACTTTTAGTTATTCTGTTAATTCCTTTCAAAAACTGAAAAAACAGTAAAACTTATATTTGGTATATGTATTTGCAAAAAATATGAGTCGGTTCTTATTCATTTAGCTTTTCGGGATGTACTGCACACCTGTAAGCTCTGCTTTCAAGCGCAAAAAAAAAAATAATAATAATAATAAGAAAAAAAAACACAGACTCACTAAATGTTGACCTAAAATGTTCAGTGTGTTCTGTTTTTTTCTTTTAACAGCACCAAAAATGATAATTTCTCATAGCCCAAGGTGTTTCTTTTTTCTGGGCGATAATATTAGGTTTGTTCTTTGTTTCATTTTCCTCCTTTAGATTCAAAGGTTTTGAACATGACTTAATAATGGGATGGAAATTTCTTCCTTTGATACAGATAATTGGTGTCTTCTTTCTGCCTGAATGACAAAGTCAAGGAAAATTTATTGCATAAAGGAGAAGTCTCTGAATAATCTGTCATCTATCGTTACTTTCATTGCCAATCAATAGAAGGAGGGCTTCTGCTTTCCCCTTACTTAATCGGAGAAAAGTAGAGACTTCCTTTCACATACACTACACACACCATTTTCACCCCCTTAGCTGAAGGCTAAACCCACACAGATAGACTAATATATTCAAGTCATGGCTGCGGACACTGAGCGACAGAGTGCTGACAGCTGAGAGCAATGGCCGACTCAACAGGCTCCCTGGAGAGACTGGTGACAGCTACCAGCCAAGACAGAAACACAGTGAGAAATTCGTTTTACTCTTTATGAAAATCCAGACTGAAAAACAAACTCAAAGAGCACGGAAATATCTCATCTTAGTCAATGTGGGACATAGATTTATGCTTTTGATGAAAAGCATCTCTACACGTTAGTAGTGATAATTCTTGCACTTGGGGGACCTCATTCTCCACCACAGCCGGGAGCTGAAAGCCTCTTACCCAGGGTGTCTTTGATGTTTTTCACCAGAGAGCCTTTCTTCAGGCTGTTCTTGCGCTCCACGTAGTTCGACGGCACGTAACCCGTCTGGTTGGCGGTGTTGCGGACGCGCCACCACGTTTTCGAGTCGTCCAGGAGGTAGAGGCGCTCGTTTTTACGGATGTCAAGTTCCTGGTCCTGCTGGGCTATGTAGTCCCACTTGGCTACAACAATCACCTCCTCTGTCATCTTTCATGGAGTCCTCCTGGGGAGAAGGAGGAGGAGTCAGAAATCAACGACAAGCATATGATGCCGAGCGATCTGTACATTAAAACACAATCCGACTTTTTCTCATGACACAAAAACAAAAGCTGATGACAGACAATAGATAGACTGAGTTAATAATTAATCAGCTATAAATTACTGCATTTCAATAGTAGCTCCTGCAAAGGATTTGCCATATTGATATTGTACAGAAGTCTGAATGGACAAATTAAATATTTGGAGCGGGCACTAACGATTATTTATGTTACAAACATTCTTATGATTGATTGAATAAAAAAGTAGTTTTACAAAACTAAAAATACATTAAAAGATGCAAACAAATAGCTTTTTTAAAAAAAAAAAAAAAAGAAAAAAAAAGAAAAATACATTGCCTAAAGTCCAATTACATACCATTGCTTTTGTGTATGCTTCATTATTTGAAGTAAAGAAAGCATCTGCAGCTAAAGCAATTCTTCCAACATCAACATGACAATAGCTTGGCACTCTCAGCTTAACTTAATACAGTTTCAAGATAATTTGTCAACTATGTTTTGGATTAACTCATAAATAAATGGATAGCAAAAGGAGTAAAAAAAAAGAAGATTTTGAACCAGGTGAAGCTTCAGGAGTTTTTGGTAGAACGTGTTTACAGACAAAAAAGGTTTTTAATTTTAAATGCAAAATGTATTTTTTTTGTACAGTTCAGGCTTAATTATGTCTTTTTTCAGTCTGCTATACTCAAGTTAATTACACAATCCGTTGACAATTATTTCAATAATCGACTCATCACAATCTTTTCTGTCTGACGTTGATCTTCTACTGAGGTAGACGTCAAAGTAACATGACTAAATGAGGAAGGCTTTAAAGGGTGTGAAAACTTTATCGCTGTGAGCTGTGTTTGTGAAGCTCAGCGCTGCTGTCACAAGTAAGAAGTCATTAAAAAATGATCCACACTCATCCCCAAGTAGAATTGCTAAAGTGCTTATCCCTGCTCACACTGGGTATTAGCCCGGATAAATCCAGGAAATGTTTCCACTATATTATATAACCAAGATAAATGTTCATGGCAATATTTTGAGCACAAGCTGGCAATAAAGCCTTTAATTCCTTAAATGAAAATTATAGCAGCATTTCATATACGTCTAACAGTGCAACCCCATCTTGTCAGAAGATACCAGGTAACACCATTAGCTGAAAGCATGAAGTTTAACGGCAGAACCTGCAGCTCTACAGACATCGAAGCTTCTACAAAAGGTTTATTTTGGCAGAAAGCAGCACAAAACGCACCAAACAAATCAATTTGTGTGCTCTCGCTTGTGCACATATACACAAACACACCTTGCCTGTTGGGGGTTTGGTTTTTTTAGACAGTGCAGTCAGCGATTACATGCTCTATTTCATCAGGCTTTGAGTAAGGTCATTTGACATGGGTCAACTAGACCACCTTCCTGTTCAGAAACTGAAATGTTTGAGTCAAGTCCACTCTGGGATAACCTCACATGAAAAACGCAACCTCACGATATGAAAACAATCTGACCGACCAAGTTTATATTTAGCTCACCTTCAAGGTGTGAAAATCAAAACAAGAAAATGAAAGGAAAGTCAACTGTCTCCAGATTAGCTTAATTACTTGTAACAAATGGCTGAGTACTCAGTACAACAAAGAGCCACTTTCTCAATGTTCTGCCATTGAAGTTGTAAAATTGATAAATGTTTGATCTTTTTATGAGCGATTGTTCTTTCAGAGCAATAAATGAAAACCTAATCGCAAGCAATATTATGGTTAGGGATTGATACATTAGGATGTAGCAACCTTTAGACAAGAGTTAAAAATAGTCTTCCACATAAAAGGTAATAATAGAGATCCATTGACTTTTTCCACCATGTTGAAATGATCAGTGATTAACTGATTCAAACAGAAAGCCCTGCAGTGGTTAAAATGGAAAACAACATTGATTTGAGTGCATAGAGAAGCATGTAGGTGAGATTACCCATTAATAATTAGTGCACGTGATCAATAGATAGTTTCACATAGTCTAGACGGGAAAAAAATGGCATATTAGCCTGCAGCACAAATGCAAGAAGAATGTTTGCTTAATTATTTACATTTTACTCTTCAACGGGTAAAAACGGGTAAAAGCTACTCTGAAGAAAGATGACTCACGCTAAGAGTTGCTTAAATTAGACGTTCTAGAAAGATTCCATTAGCGGAGGAACGATTTATATCTTCTGCGTAGATTACTTATTAATACATGCTAATAGCAGCAGCGGAAAATGGTGCCCTCTTTGCTCAACCACAGACATTTATCTCAGTTTCACTTAGGCCACAAGCACAGAGTCAGAGATGACTGGGAACATTCCTGCTGTTATGGTCTCAACCAGTAGGTTGTGTCACTGCAGGAGAATGTCTAATGGCTGCTCTACAGCCGCTCATGTGCAACAGTTTGCACAGAAAATGTGCCTCTGCTTGCCGTCACTAAAAGCTGTCAAACTGGCTCTCGCCTCGCAGGCCAGGACAGGGATGGCTGAGAGGAGGAGGAGAACGAGGAGAAGAGTTGTGTAACACAGAGGAGTGTGTGCCAAGATCGCTACAAGTTAAACAGCTCGACTTTCCAGGATGTGTGAATTTTTTTTTATTTTTTACTGCAGCAACAAAGGCAGCGGAAGAATTGAGGTTAAGCTGGTTAGGTTGACGTTTAAGGAGGGGACAAAAGCAACAGCTGGGATTCTTTAGAATCGGGGAGGAAAGTGGAGCAGAAGGACGGATTTATGACAAGATGAGGGACGGTGACGTCAGCTCTTCCAGGAGACAGGAAGTGTGTGAATGTGCTTGGGTCTCTTGTGCCTCAGCCAGCAGTAGCTGGATTAGACAGGATTACAACTTTCTGTCAGTTTCACAGTGTTTATTATTCCTCCTTCACATGCATTCATGAAATCTGAGAACCACTTCATTGTTACAGTGCTTAGGATTCGCACTAGTAAACACCTAGTGCGACCACAAACCTAATTTTTTTAGTTTGATTCTGTTATATACTCCCAAACAGTACTGCACTACTCCAAAGTGCAAGGAATTTTTTAAATAAAAAAATTAAAAAAGCATTGCCTGCATTTACAGGTGTAGAAGTCCTGATAATGATTACTGTTTGATTGTGCAATCAGGTTTGATCAAAAGATTTACCCTAAATCATCACCAAACTTATGAGGAGAAGAAGGCAGCTGAACTGGAAGCAAGAGTAACAGGACATCTCATCGCCGTTTTAATTTTTTCCTTTCACTTCACTCTGTTCTTATTACTGAGCAGTTATTTGCCATGAAACACTAAACCGCTACCGCATAAGTGACGAAGTTTTCTAGGTAACGAGTGAGTTAGCTGATGCCACCAACCTAGCTTAGCTTAGCTGGCCGAGAGAGGGGGAGCAGCTAAAGTCTTTCATCTGCCTACGTTCCCCAGAACGTAGGCAGATATAATATTGAATATATTATCTATCGATATTACTCATGTGTAATATTGATTTATTGCCATATCTCACATTTTAGCACGTACTATGTTAGCATATTTACACAGTCTACATCTTGTGTACTGATGGTTTATTTTTTTATGCAGTTTATCATTTTCAGTGAATGCTATGTCTGGAATAGTACTGCTCTTGGTGATCACCAGATCACCGGAGTGAGACCCTGAGTCTCCTCTCCAGACTAAGGGTCATTTGTTTGTTTTAAATACGTTTTTTAACACACCAGTAACAGTTACGGTAAAGACGGATTAAGCCAGGTATAGTGGCGCCAATTGTGGCTGCCCTGCACCTGCCTTTTGGCCTCACGTGATATTATTTTGAAATTATGACGCCTGCGTGTCCACCTCCAAATTTTTTTAACTTTTGGCATTTTTTAAACACACAAATGTAGTGGGCCACTCGTGGACTGCCCTCGTGCCTCAACCACAGGGCTGAGCGGATCTTCTGGGGTAAACCATGTTATTTGTTTACAGGGCATGTGGCAAACTCTTGGATCCCACAAACACATCCTGTTTCACTTCAGTTTTCAACATGAAGGACTGAAAAGCTACTTTTTTCCCTGCTAGCTATAAATACAATATACATAAAACTTTTCAGTGCTTACTACCATTGTCCCATTTCTTAGTGGTTTAATAATATTTTGTTTCTTAGCGTGATTTTTTAACATGACAATGTCAGGATGTTTCCTTTCTTTAGCTGCGATATCAATTTCTGCATCTTTGACAACCTTGCTCCTCTAAATTATGAACACTCAGCAATCAACCCCATGAGAGAGCTCATTCTGACTTCCTGACTCACTCCCATTGAGGCAGTCAGAAATCTGTCTACGACAACCCAAGAGCAGTGAAAAACAGATCTGGTTATGTTAAAAATAACATCTATTTTATATGATTTTATTGGCTGCCTTTTTAGGGCCATGTAATTGCTGGTTGACAAAAAAGGTGGTAAAGAAAACGTTTTGCTCACTGGATGCTAACCAACAAATCTGGATGAAGTGGGTAAAAAAATAAATAAAGGAAGGATTTACAGCTAAAACTCCTCATGACCCCCTGTTCCTCTATGAAGAGATGTTAAAAGAGAAAGATGAGCAACAGACTGCTGAGCTGGGGTTCAACGACACTTCACAGCTCCCCTCGCTGACGGGGGAGCGTTCAGAGGCTCTTTCAACACTTATCAAAGAGGAAGAGAGAATAAAAGAGGATTATAAAAAAGAGGGAATGTTTAAAGTGAAAAAAAAAATGTTGGCAGAATTTTCTGTGTTTGGCATTTAGGTCAAAGGCTGCCAAATTTCAACCAATGAGAGATTTTTTCCACCCCCCGTCCACTCTACAATGTTTGCAGTGGCTGCCTCTCACAGGAAGGAGGCGGGCTGCTTTACTCCCCATTGGCAATCGCTGTCGGAAACACTGAAACAGGAGGAAGCCAAATTTGATGCAAGAGCCACCCCGGACAAGGCTTTTTTGTGATTTAAAGAGCTCCAACGCTC